CCTTTTATGAGCCCTACACTCATTTAAAGTTTTGTGTGTGTTTGTGTGGGGACGGGGGGTCCAAATAAACTCTACTTGAACCTCCGGCAGAGCTGCAGAAATCCAAATTGAAAGAATTCTAAAGGTTTACCGCATGAACATTTTTTCTGAACACTTCAGACTTGTTTACAAATGCATTGTTCAGGAGCTGAAGGCAGGCACAGACTGCTTTTGCCGGATTGGGTTTGAGGCTTTGGGAAAGGAAGGCTATAGCTTGGTGCCTCGCCTTTAGGAGATAAGCCATGGCTATGAGGCAAACCCAAAGTCGGATCAGGGCTGCTCACTCAGCTATGACTCAGACAATCTGGGCCCTAATGCAGTACAAAATTATGCATGTATTTAATTTCAAGCATACAAGTAGTCCCACTGAGTTAAAAGTGACAACTCAAAGGCTTAAAATTTAAGCATCTACATAAACCTTTGCAAGACTGGGGCTCAAATGGGGTGTAATACATAGTTATGCCATATCCTCACTCCTCACTGCAGCTGCTGGTTGAAAAATGGAGTGAAAATGCCTCAAAAAAGTTGGAGCATAGGATTACTTTCTCCGTTCTCCACAATTCCAGCAAATCCATGTTTTTTATTATATTCCTACAAATTAGGTTGGTAAAGGAGAACATCGAGGAAAGGAAATTGCACTTCTTCTGGCTCTTCCTGTACCAATCCAGACAGCCTATTTATATAGGTTTCAGAGTAGCAGCCGTGTTAGTCTGTATCCTCAAAAAGAAGAACAGGAGTACTTGTGGCATCTTAGAGACTAACAAATTTATTAGAGCATAAGCTTTCGTGGACTACAGCCCAGTACTTGTGGCATCTTAGAGACTAACAAATTTATTAGAGCATAAGTGGGCTGTAGTCCACGAAAGCTTATGCTCTAATAAATTTGTTAGTCTCTAAGGAGCCACAAGTACTCCTGTTCTTCCTATTTATATAAAAGCCCATGTGATTTGTTCTTGATATAATGAGGTTATAGATAGAGAGCATTTTAGCAGTAAATACAATTTACCACAACTACTAAGGAAACAGCTGGTGATAAACCAGTATTTATGCCCCAGCTTTCTAGAGCTTTTCCTCTCTGTTTTCTTTTACTGGCTGGAGGACAGCCATACCTACAATATGAATCAGTATAGAAAAAACTTGGCAAGGTTGCAATTTATGAGTAAGGAAAATTATTCCTTCTAGAATAATTTCTTCACACTGCCTAATGAATCTACATGCTGTCTATAGTTAACTACTGGGTAATATGTTTAGAAATTTTTTACACTACTTTAAAGAATAAAAAGAAGTACTTAGGTATTCATATTCTGCAGTTAGTTTGTAGGTATTATGCTGCTACATATTAAAAGAATGTTGGGCCAATTTCCTTAAATCGCAATAAAGCTACTCTGGATTTAATACCAGTATAAATGAGATCTGGATCACTCTACCTAGGTTAATACTGTACAAAATTGAACCTGAAAACCTAGGCTGGAAATGAACAAAACAGAATCTCATTTTTATTTTTCTGTTTCCTTTTTTCAAAGCCCTTAGTGTACATAGGACTTCACTTAGGTATGTTCAAATCCCCTAGATCAGAGATTCTCAAACTGTGGTCCGGTCTGCGAGCTCCATTCAGGTGGTCCGTGGATAGTTCCCTCTAAGGTGCACGCCTGGGCAGCTGCACACAAGAAAATGAAGGGCCACCCACCTAATTAGTGGAGCCGCACAGGCATGGCTCCCCAAGGCCACCACCTCACCTTACATGTGCGTCTTCTCCAGGGTCCAGGCACCTAATTAGTTTGGAATTTGGGACATGCAGGGCTGCAGCAGCCAGAGAAAGAGGCGACTTTCCTCAGCTCCAGAGCTGCGGCTGCCGGGGAGAGATGGGCCTCCTTCCTAGCCTCAGCTCTGTGGCTGCTGTGGCGGGGGGAGAGACCCCCCCTCCTTCCCAGCCTCAGCTCAGGGGCTGCCGCGGCAGGGAGAGATAGTACATCCATCGCATTAGAAAGGTCAGACTACTTACTGATATTAAAATATGAGTTGTGTGCTTTTATTTGTAGAACAAAAAATGTTAATTATTATAATGTTTTTTATATAACACTTTTATCCAATGCACTTTACAATAGTTAGCTAACGGTACAAACAACATTTGGAAAGATCATTAAGTGGTCCGCCGAGACACTCAGCAATTTTCAAGTGGTCCGTGGAAAAAAAAGTTTGAGAACCACTGCCCTAGAAACTATCACAGAATAAGGCCAGACATGCCCTGCCCTTTTTAGGGCTTATTTCACACATGATGAAAAAACAACACAATGGCATGGGAAAGATGCAGGAGCTCCTTTTGCTGTGACTTTTTTCAATAACAGACAATAACAGCAGAAATGTGACTAGAAAATTGGTGCAAACAATTCTTTGCCAGGGTTGCCTCTGTTGAATAATATATGCTAATACTATATGTATTATCCACACCATATTAGTATACATTAAGCACAAATAGCATTAAGCACAAATATTATAGCAGTTATATTGCCTAAATTGGCTATGTTTTTTTATATAACCAACCCTGCTCACTTATGTTAAGTTTTGCGTATCCCAACACATAGTCAACCTGTGGAACTCATTGCCAGGGGATGTTGTGAAGGCCAAAAGTACAGCTGGGTTCAAAAGTGAATTAGGTAAGTTCACGGGGGATAGGTCGATCAATGGCTATTGGCCAAGATGGTCAGGGACGAAACCCCATTCTCTGGGTGTCCCTAAACCTCTGATTGACAGAAACTGGGAGTGGATGACAGGAGACAGATCACTTGATAACGGCCCTGTTCTGTTCATTCCTTGTGAAGCATCTGGCATTGGCCACTGTTGGGAGTTACAGCGGGTTACTGGGCTAGATAGACCATTGGTCTGACCCAGCATGGCCATTTTTATATTCTTCCCTTGCATTCACTGAAGTAAGTTTTGTTTTCAGCAAATAGGTAAACTGTCAAGATCAGGGCAGATGAGTGCTTTACCATAGTAACAGAAAGGGAGTTGCTCTCACAAGCCTGTACAGGAATGTCCCAAAGGAAGAGGACAAGACATCTGATTGTTCTACCCTAGTACAAACCTAGGAGGTGCCTCATGTCCTTCTGAAATACATGTGTTCAGAACAAAGAGATAAGCAGTACACCATTGTACCAGAAAAACAAGATAGAAAGCTGATCGGATAAATCTAGTTTCATATGATGTACATAGTACTTTTTACTTGTGAACAGGTAGGGTATAAAAAGATGGCTTTAGGGGTGTAACTTGGGGAGTTCATCTTTTGTGATGTAAATGTAACAATGCAGCATGAGAAAGCTTCCCAGACTGGTATCATAAAGAACCTGTTTCCTGTACTATATTATTATTATTGGCTTATAGCAGGGGTCGGCAACTTCTGGCACGCAGCTCGCCAGGGTAAGTACCCTGGTGGGCCGGGCCAGTTTGTTTACCTGCCGCATCGGCAGGTTCGGCTGATCACGGCTCCCACTGGCCGCGGTTCGCCGTCCCAGGCCAATGGGGGCTGCGGGAAGCTGTGCGGGCCGAGAGATGTGCTGGCCGCGGCTTCCCACCACCCCCATTGGCCTGGAGCAGCGAACCGCAGCCAGTGGGAGCCGCGATCGGCTGAATCTGCCGACTCGGCAGGTAAACAAACTGGCCCGGCCTGCCAGGGTGCTTACCCTGGCGAGCCGCGTGACAGAGGTTGCCGACCGCTGGCTTATAGCAATAAACCTGACTAACATGGGTTATTTGGTCTCTTGAGTATATTTCGTAACGAACCAAAGTGTGATCAAGCAAATGACTATGCACTATCAAAACCTCTTCTGTTGTCAGTTTGAGGAGAAAGGAGGAGCAACCCATCAGTCCATCTATCAAAGATATGGATTAAGGTCCTCATTCTGCTTTGGCACCGCAAAGAGCCTCCTTGACTTCAGTTGGCAGAGGTCCACCTCATGGATCCAGACGCAGAATAAGGGCCCATGTGTTTTCAAATAAACCTAAAGCCTAAACAAAATCTTGTTGCTGTTTTCTTTTTAAATATAGCAAAACCCCAATGAATTTGGTTTTTATACACAGTAGTCACAGAAAACGTGCTTGGCAAAGGCACCTGCTTCCATGTTGTTCAGATTACAAGTACGCATCAATAATAAAAGGGTGAAAATACTTGTAAAATTGTCCTGTGTAATCCCGCATCATTGCCAGACTCTGAGAGAAATTATTCTCTTACAAACTAGCACATGTGAGAAATTTCAGACTAATTTAAAATTGGGCTTATTTTAGCTAGTCACCTTAACGGTGAAGAGAGTAGCAGCTCTCCATGACGGACGTGACATAAAATAAACATATTCTTTAGAGGTGAATTGAAAGACTTTTTAAATTCCATGACCTAAGATCATGGTTCTCGTTCAATATTTGATGACACACATCACTACTGCAAAAAACACACCAGGGAGTTGTGCTCTTTACCATGCTATTGATGATGTCATCTGATGTGGCAGGCAAAGTGCAAGAACTCTGAAATCATGTCTCGGCATTCAAGTGGAGGAAGAGCTTATTTTAAATGCTTATGTTGTACAGTACATTTGCCATGAAGCCACATTTTTCTAAATGTAAAGCTTGCTCCTGGAAACTACTTGTGCATGTGACTAATCCTTATTTAATTGAGTAGTCCCATTAACTTCAATTGGAGTTGAGAGCACTTGTCATCTCACAGGAGGCACTCAGCAAGATCATATGTTCTTATATGTCACTTGCATCTAATTCAGGTTGCCTTTTAAACGAACATTACATCAGAAGCACAGTTTGAGTTACAATGCTGAGAGATGCAGCTCTAAAATAATAATGGTTATTGCCAATGCATTGGAAAAACTTGAAATCTGGACCACAGCTAAAAAAGCTAAGTTGGTGAGCAACAGAGGCACATACATTCAGTCCTAGAGTTAAAAACTGATAAAAGCACTTACCTCAAAACTCACAGATCCATTGTGATCAGTGTCGAATGCATTAAAGAGAAAATGTGCATAGGTTGTAGAATCTAAAATTTAAAAACAGAAAGTGTGTTCCTTAGTAAGTGCATTTTAAAACATTACCTGATACCCTAACACATATTTTCTTTAATTTTCTTCAATGAAAATTTTTAGCCAGGGCTAAATTTTAACTCCAACCTTAATCAGGTTTCTCTTTTTGCAGGAACAAAATTGTAATTAATTACACAAATAATTACATCCTCAAAAATAGCCTCAAAAATAGAGGCTACGTTTTAAAAAATCTATCCTTATGTACTCTCATCATCATTACTACATGGAAAGGATCATTCACTGTCGTATGACTTTATTGTGACTATTATAATACGCTCAGTACACCTCTACCCCGATATAACGCGACCCGATATAACACAAATTCTGATATAAGGTGGTAAAGCAGTGCTCCGGGGGGGGGCGGGGCTGCGCACTCCAGCGGATCAAAGCAAGTTCGATATAACGCGGTTTCACCTATAACGCGGTAAGATTTTTTGGCTCCTGAGGACAGCGTTTTATCGAGGTAGAGGTGTATTTACAAAATGGTCTGTATTTGCTCAGGGCTCTGCTCATCAGATAAGGGACCATAACTGGAGTTCTGTATCCTGACCTGCATAAGAAGATGTTCATTTGTTCGCTTTTAAGGAAGAAATGAAGCACAACTGTCAATGCATTTGGTGGATTATTTTTATTTTGAAGGGAACCATGTTATCCAATTTGTAACTGAACTTGCCAGCAGGCTTCTACATGAATGAGCACTGGAGATGAACACTGATTGTCTGGTGTGATAAGTAAGTTAAAAATATGACTGAATATTCAAACAAGTGATCCATTTATTAAACAACTATTTTATTCTCCCTGAGTATAGTGAATACTGCTATATTGATGTACTTTGAAAAATAAATGTAGAACACAATAAAAATGTGCCAAACCTCTAAATCAGGGATCTCAAATCACCACAAGGGCCACATGAGGACTAGTACATTGGCCTGAGGGCCGCATCACTGACAACTTTTCATATAAAAGTACAAAAGCCTCCCCTCTCTCCCCCCCCGGCCTCACCCCCACTCCACCCCTTCGATGAGGCCCCACCCCTTCCCCACCCCATTCCAACCCCTTCCCCAAAGTCCCCACACCAACTCGCCCCCTCCCTGCCCCTATTCCAACCCCTTCCCCAAATCCTCGCACTTGCCCCGCCTCTTCTCTGCCTCCTCCCCCCTCCCTCCTGGAAAGTGCTATGTGCTGCCAAACAGCTGTTTGGCGATGGGAAGCACCTGGAGGTAGGCAGAGGAGCTGGGACACGGCGTGCTGAGGGGAAGGGGGCCAGCAGGTGAGGGGAGCTTGGCGGCCGCAGCAAATAACTCCGCGGGCCGCTGCGTGTTTGAGACCCCTGCTCTAAATATTTACATATGGCTGTCTCCCATTAGGGACTCCATAAGCTAAAAAGTGGGGATTGTTTTATTTGGAGGATTTTTTGTGGTATTTGTCATCATAGCACCTGAGCACAAACACTAAGGAATTTGTCCTGACAATTCCCTTGTAACATAGGGTAATATCTTCCTCTTTTTATCAATGCAGAACTGAGGCACAAAGAGCTAAGAAGTCTCATTTTAAGAGGTGAGAGCTCCTGCAGCAAAAAAAAACAAAAACAAAAAACAGATGACATGTGACCCAGCTTATCAGAGTCCTAGTCTAATGCCTTAACCACAACACCAGCCTTCCTCTCTCTGAGCTCCCAAGAGTTCTCTGGATTTCCGTTCCCACCCTAACACACCCAAAACCTGTGCTAGAACACCATGCAAGTTAATACTGCCTGAGGTAGTATTTACTTGCCCTACTTTCCTCTCCACACTTTATATATGTAATCCCGCCCCATGTATTCGTATTGGCTTTTCTATAGTGCTCATTACCTTAATAACTAACTACCTCACAAACCTGAATTAATTTTAGTCTCAGAAAATTCTTGTGAGGCAAGGAAGTATTATTATTTTATAGATGAGGAACTAAGGCAAAGAGAGATTCAAGCTGATTGCCCAAGGTCATGCAGGGAAAACCAAAGATGAACTTATCGTGGGTGTTCCTCTGGGAGAAGGGATGATCCTGCCTAAAGGTGATAAATTTCTGCGGCCTCATTATGGCAGGTGCAGCTCATTAACTCTAGCTTGGATGATCTAATACTTAGTCCTGCCTTATGTGCAGGATCCTGGATTAGAAGACCTCTTGAGGTCCCTTCCAGTCCTCCGATTCTATGAAAGTTACCCTTTACACTATTCTGTTACCCTCCTGTTTCATCACCTTCCCATCATATCACATTAAAATTTGTACTCCATGTCACATCTTCTGGTGTTAGTGGCAGCACTCCTGAGTGGCATGCTTACAGAACAACACAAGGTCTTATCAGGAAGCAACCTTGTTACTGCCCGAGAAGTCCTTTTCTGTCTAGCAGGATCTACAGGGGACTAAACCATTGGCTCCTGTGTACACTATTTGCATTTCTGTTTTATCAAAATCATTTTAACCTTGAAAAACTGGTCACACTGTGCAGGGCCAAAACAATCTTCTTGCATTGGATCTATCAATGGCATTTACTCTAGGCCAGGGGTTCTCAAACTTCATTGCACCGCGACCCCCTTCTGACAACAAACATTACTTCACGACCTCAGGAAGTCTGAGCCCGCCTGAGCCCCACTACTCTGAGTGGGGGGTGGGAGCAAAGCCTGAGCCTCACCGCTCTGGGCAGGGGGTCCAAAGCTGAAGCACAAGGGCTTCAGCCCCAGGCTGGGGGCCTGCAACCTGAGCCCCGCCACCCAGGGCTGAAGTCCTTGGGCTTTGGCTTCAGCCCTGGGCAGTGGGGCTCGGGTTTTAGCCCTGGGCCACAGCAAGTCTAAGCCAGCCCTAGTGACCCCATTCAAAGGAGGTCATGACCCACTTTGGCATCCCGACCCACAGTTTCAGAACCACTGCTCTAGGCTGTATCCTAATGGAGGCAAAATTCCCATTTTCAACTTTAAAAAACCCAAGCCAAAACTCATGACTTTTATCTGAATAAGGACTGCAAATAGCTTAGTCCTTATTACAGTATGTTAATTTGGTATTATATACATTAATTATTGTAGGAACAAACCCAGCAGTGTTTGAACATATGTTAATAATGCATTTTCATTGAATTCAAAAAGAAAATACTGTTGAGACATAGTATCAGAGGGGTAGCCGTGTTAGTCTGAATCTGTAAAAAGCAACAGAGGGTCCTGGGGCACCTTTAAGACTAACAGAAGTATTGGGAGCATAAGCTTTCGTGGGTAGGAACCTCACTTCTTCAGATGCATTCTGAAGCTTATGCTCCCAATACTTCTGTTAATCTTAAAGGTGCCCCAGGACCTTCTGTTGCTTGCTGAGACATAGACAATCACAACACTGGATGGATGGCTAAGTACCAACCATCAGTCAAATCCCCATTTTAATTTAAAGAAGAACAGGAGTACTTGTGGCACCTTAGAGACTAACAAATTTATTAGAGCATAAGCTTTCGTGGACTACAGCCCACTTCTTCGGATGCATATAGAATGGAACATATATTGAGGAGATATATATACACACATACAGAGAGCATAAACAGGTGGGAGTTGTCTTACCA